CTCTCTCTCTCTCTCTCTCTCTCTCTCTCTCTCTCTCTCTCTCTCTCTCTCTCTCTAACTTCGGCGTGTTTCTCTTGGGGGTTCAGCTGACAGGAAGTGAAGCGGCTGTAAGAACCGAGGTGACCTTGTTAACGAACACGCAGCCGACAGAGGCTGGTGTGTGTGTCAGCTCTGATGTAAACCTGCAGGGGGCGCCGTGTGACTCGCTGACATCACTTCCTGTTTGTCTGTTTTAAAACTCGTCTTAAAACCCACTTGTTTACTTTGGTTTTTGACACTGTGTAATGGGGTTGTGTTGTTCATTTATACTAGATTTTATTTTTTGTTTTTATTCTAGACTTTAAATTAGGTTTTAGGCATTTTATTGTTTTTATTCCTTGTTTTTACTTTGTTTTTTATTAAATTGTGACTGAGTTTGTTTTTGTACGAGCTGTGTTGGAATGCAGCACTGTGGTGTACTTTGGTGCAACAAGTGCTTTACAAATAAAGTTGGACTGGATTGGTCGTCACTGATCTGCTGAATCTGGCAGCAGAAAGTCGTTCCTCCAGTTTTTCTTTCCTTCTGTGACTCAGAGCTGCTGTAACCATGACGACGGCCCACAAACCTGTACCGCCTCCAGGTGTGGAGCCTGACTTTAGGACCGGACAGGAAGTGGTCGCGTGTGTGGACAGAAACAGGAAGTGGTCATGCGTGCGGACAGATAAACAGGAAGTGGTCGTGCGTGCGGACAGATAAACAGGAAGTGGTCGTGCGTGCGGACAGATAAACCTCTTTTCACGTGAAAAAGTAAAGTCATGATGGATTCCGACGTTCTGACCCGTTCAGAGACCCAAACCCGATGGTGACGGTCTGCAGGGTACCTTGGCCGATCTTGACGAAGCCGATGATGATGATGAGCACGAGCGCCAGGAGCTTGGCGGCAGCGAAGAAGTCCTGCACTCTGGTAGCCGCCTTCACGCTGTAGCAGTTCACGAAGGTCAGGAGAACTGAGGAGGAAGGAAGAGTTGAATCAAAGCTCCATGAAGCCACGTTTCATGTTTTAAAATAAAAAAACTTTCAGGTTTTAGAAACTCCTGAAACATTAAAGTTAAACGTGACGTTGAGACGTTTTATTAGAAACATGTTTCGTCTGCTCCACGGCTGGAACGGTTTTTATGAAGCAGGTAAAAGTCAAGCAGTGGTGTTTTTGTTGGTCTGTTAGCAAAATATCTCCTTAAAGCACTGCTGGATTTTCACCTGCAACTCTAACGTTTAATTCAGACCCAATCCAAGATGGCCGCCACGGCTAATTAACCTTAAAGAACACATAAATGACTCTAATTAAGTCAGTTTTACAAACATTTTGGTGTGGTAGTAGCTGAGAGTCAGACTCTGAGCACTTCTCAGGAATAAATAACTATTTATTTATGTATTTATTTACCGTTATTTAACCAGGCAAGTCAGCCTGGGCCTGAAGGTAACCTGTTGTACAGGTTTTTAGGGGTGGGGGAAACCGGAGTGTGTGTGTATATGTGTATATATATATATATTGGGGATGGGATGCACTGATATGAAAATTTCATCTGATATAATTATTGGTGTTATGGCTGATAGCTGATATTTACAGATAATACACAAGTACACAAACACACTTGGGTCTTTTGTTGACACTGTAAATAAACAAGCAGACCTCTGACAGTAACTTCAGTTATTCCTGGTTACACAGCGTAAATATTGATGCTGCTCAACCAACCATGTCTCCTCCCAAAACAGAAACACAAAAATAAAAAGTGGGAAATCAACATCAGATGTTAATATCAGCAGTTTTACAAATCAGACCGATACAGATATTCTAAAAAATGACCAATATTGTCTGATATTAATGCTGATATATCGTGCATCCCTTATTTATTTATACATACATATATCTGCTGCAGTGTGATATGATTTGTGTACAAACTAATACAGGATCAGAATAATTTAAATTTATATTTCTCATCCAAACATAATTAATTCACTCAACAACAACAAGTCATAAAATGATTTTCTACTTCTAATCTTTTATAAAAATGTAAGTAGAGGTAAAAAGGCTGAAAAATAATTACTTAAGTAAAGTACAGATACTCAGTAAGAAAGTATTAGTACTTAGTTACTTTAGAGGTCAGGCTGATCATCAGGTCTTTCATTAGATCTGTTTTGTTCTTCAGAACCATTAACAGAACTTTCTGTGCAACAGAAACCAGTTCATTAATCTCAGAGAAACACAGTAACAAACAAGGAAAAAGCTTCTGGCTGCAACACAAGTCCGGGTCCAGTTCTGGACCCAGAACATTCAGAACCCCTGACCCAGTTCACAGTGATGAGCTGAAGCAGCAGGTCCCTTCAAAGCCCCTAAATCAGGCCGGACCCTGGACAGCAGACCGGCCCGCACAATGAGGCTCTGTGGTTCTGAGAAACGCACAAAAGGAAAGAGGTCGGGTACAGTAGAGGACCGGGACGCTCAGATCTGCCGCCCAGAACCAGAACCAGAACCAGAAAGGGACGGCTGGAACTTCAGCAGAACTCAGAAACCCGACATTAATCTCCTGAAACGGGTCAGACGGAAGAATAATCTGCAAAAACTGGACCTACATGGAGCCAGAACCAGACCTGAGTCAGGTGGTCTCAGACAGCCCACACACACACACACACACACACACACACACACACACACACACACACACACACACACACACACACACACACACACGTGTGTGAATGAGTGGATGGGATTGGGCTGCTTGGGTTCTGGTTCTGACTGGATGAAGCAGCTAATTAATCCAGAGTTAATCTGGTTAAGACTCTGAGACAAACCGGACCTCGTGTTTCTGACCCGCATCAGAGTCTGGAACAGAAACAAACCCACTCCTGCACCTCTCTGAGCATAAT